GGGCGGGGTGGGGGTGGGACATGTTCTTAAACATTTTTTTTACAATCATGCAAATTTAACCAAAACAGATTCTTGTCCATTTTTTCTAATTTCTCCAAATAGCCTATGAATTATCCTGAAGGACATAGAAATGGGTAACAATACTCTGCAGAAGGGTAAGAAGGCATATCAATTAATAAAGCAGTAACAGCCTGTGGGAGAAGCACACTGTTCCAAAGAAGGGGAAGCAATGCCATACAATGCTGAGGCATTGTTGAGACTGTCTCTTTCTGTGTGCAGAAGGGATGCTGATGGAGATAATATAAGGAGGCTTCCATACAGCTTTTGACAAGTTCATAGCTGGATGAGCTACCTGCTTGGCAGGAGCTACTTCATTCTGCATTAAGGGCTGTCTCAAATATTAAAAACCAAGCCTGAAAACCAGCAGCCTGATTACTGGTGTCCGGGAGCCTCTCTTGCCCTGTGATCATGCTCCACCAGGAACCAACGTGGTCTTCAAGAAGGTGAACCGAATCAGGCTGGTCCGGCTTGACACCATCAGTCACTTTCACTGCCATCTTGCTGAAAGCTCAAGTCTGAGGTCTTTGTGTGACAAAAGTCTTAGGATCTGGATCCTTGTTACACATTTGTCTTTTTTATTTTTTTTAATGCTCAGCAGTACCACAGTGTGGGCTCTGATGCCCAGAGCTAGCAGCGTCAGCCAGACAGATGGCACATTTGGAGCTCAGAGGAGGTGGCAATTGGTGTCCTCATCAGACTGCTTCTTGGTTTGATTTAGGACATTGTTCCTGACTGGTTTTAAAAAAAAAATCTTGAGGAGTGATTAGAGTCTCAAGAACACATTGCTCAATAATTCCCAATGCTAAGAAATTACACAAAAATTCATCTGGGTGCTGTCTTCCTTTAACATTTAGACACCAAGAGTACACGGTGTGCCCCCCCCTGCACCCCATGTGAAGGAATGCTAGAATAAATCTGATTGATATGATCAAGATTAGTCTTTATCTTGTTTAAGCCTTAAAAAATCATTAAGAAAAGGGCAGGAAGTAAATTTGAGCAAGCAAATAAAAGACAAATGGACAGAAATATGTGAAAAATATTAAATGTCAGTAATAAAGGAGTGCAACATAGTTTGTTATGATCTAGAGAACAATTGAACAATTAACTACTAAAGCCTTTCATGCTCATGGGCATGGCATCAATCCTATCACATGGGAAGCAGAGGCAGGAAAATCTCAAGTTTGGGTCCAGGGGGGAGGGGGTGGAGAACTTTTGGGCTGGGAATGTAGCTCTGTGTTTTCCTAGCATGCTTAGATGCTTAGGCTCTGAATTCAAATCCATAATCATCAAAGAATAGTAGCCAGTTCTGATAGCTCAGGCCTGTAATCCAGGCTACTCAAGAGGCTGAGCAACAAGACTTCAAATTCAAGACCAACCTGGGCAACTTAATGAGACCCCTGTCTTACATTAAAAAGTAAAAAGGGGGATATAGCTTAGTGCTAGGGTCCTTGCTTAGAGTATGCAAAGATGCCAGGTTCAGTGTCTGCACTGAAGGAAACTGGAGCATTAAGAGTGTTGTTGCGGGGGGGGGGGGGCATGGACAGATCAGGAATGACATGAAATGGACGGTGAGAATTGCATGAGTCAGACAAACCCTGCTTGCAGTTGTAGAGCTGAACAGCTTTGCAGGCCCGTTTTGCAGAAATGCATTCTGCTTCACTTGGACCTTCCGTCATTACACACAGCCACTTCCTGTGTCTACCAGGTTTGCTCCTCTCAATTCTTTCTCACACCTTCTGTGATTGCTGACCCAAAACTCTTTGTTTGCTTACTGATTGGGCGCTTTATTACTCCAGTCCCCCATGATATTACTCCCCCCTCTCTCTGTGTGTGTGTGTGTATTAGTGTTCACCTGCACACATATTTGTGTGCAGATGGCACATGCACAAGAGTGTGCATGGATGCAGAGGTCACAGAACAACTTTGGATGTCATTCTTCACGTGCTAATCATTTCGAAACAGCCTTTCTCTGTAGCTTTGGAGCCTGTCCTGGAACTTACTCTGTAGACCAGGCTGGCCTTGAACTCACAGAGATCCCCCTGCCTCTGCCTCCTGAGTGCTGAGATTAAAGTTGTGGGCCACCACCTGGCTCACCTTGGCTTTGAGACAGGGCCTCTCACTGGCCAGGTTATGGTTATTAGGTTAGGTCAGGGTCGCTGGCTAGTGAGCCCCAGGGATTTGACTCTGCCTCCTCAGAGCTGGAATTACAAGCATCCCACTACATCTAGCTTTTACAAGGGGAACTGGGATTTAACTCAGGTCCTCATATTTACAGGGTAAGCTTTGTATTTCCTGAACTCACTCCCAGCCTTTATGGTGGTTAATTTTGATTGTCACCTTGATTGGATAGAGAAGTTCCTAGCATATTAGTAAAGTACATCTTCGAAGATGTTTCCAGATTAACTATGGGAGGAGGACCTGCCCTGAATATGAATGGCACTGCCTCATGGGCTGAGGCCCAGGGGCAATAAAAGGGGGACAGAGACAAGCCCAATGGGTGCAGTAATTTTGCTTTGTGTCCCAGCTGCTGTGACATGATCTGCTCTATGCTGTCCTGAGCACCCCTCCCCCGTGGAACAAAACATGAGCCAAAATAAATCTTTCTTCCCTTAAATTGCCAGGTATTCTGTTGCAGTGAGAAATGTGGCTAATACAGGCCCTGGAAGACACAGCAGAAGTGGGAAATCACCTCTGTGTAGGATCAGGAGCCTTTCATTTTCAGTGATTATGGACTCCTGTGATCTTCAGCATGCCAGGGCAGAAGGAAAAAAAAAAAGGAGCAAATTATTTCATCCATTCCATTCAACACCCTTTCCTTCTCAAGAGACAGGCAGGGCCAGTATTTTGTGACTCTCTCTGGATTCAGGACTACTTGGGCACACTGTTCACACCCACTAGTGAAATGCTTTGTAAAGCTCCTGGTTCTGAATGGAGCCCAGAGGGAACTCTGCAGCAGGTTTAGGCCACAGGGCCAGCAGCTGTCAGTGCTGTGAATTATGTGTCTAACACAATACAGCCAATATCCTAGGTACACATGGCACGCAAGAGTGACGCTTGGGGTCGTCCTCAGAACCCTGGCAATAACTGCAGTAAAGACTCCTAAGGCTCTGGAGCATGGTGATACCTCGGCAACAGTGAACAGCTCTGCTCCAAAAGCAGCTACTTACCACTATAAAAGCAAATCTGTGCAAACTGGGCTGCTCATCATGACCTGCAAAGTTAGAAGCACTGAGGTGTGTGGCAAGGTGGGCATTAACAGCTCTGGGATATAAGTGAACAGCAGCAAAACCTGTGTAAGGTTATCTACAGCATCAGCTTGCTGACAGCGTCCTAAAAGGTTGACGCTCAGGGCTCATCATGTAATCAATGAACCAATGTTCATAAAGAGTGCAGCAGCTAGCCCTCCTGAGTGGGAGCATGACTGAGATGGGGATTGCCAGCTCCGTCCCCCAGGCCAGCTGAAGTAGTGTGGTCCCTGGTTTGCTCCACTTCCCCTCCTATACTGTTGGTAGATTGTTAGGTAGCCATCACCTTGAAGGTCGTGTTATTTAACATGTGTGGCTGAAGATCTGCATGACACAGATGCAGAACTGATATACATCCTCATGTCTGCTTCACACCCTTAGTCCTCCTGATGTGCTTATACATGGCTCAGCTACACACCCCGCTTACCTTTTGCACTAAGCACCCTCCTCCTGATGGACCCTCCCAGCTGGGTGAGGAATGCCCATGCTGGGATGAACACAGGTAATTAATTGCCTGGTGAACTCTTGGTCACTGGACATAGCACATTTGCTTTTCCCATGTTTTAAGGAGAAATTCTGCATACATTCTACAGATGTCTTCAGAATGCGATGGGAACCCATTACTCAGAGGTCACTAGCAGAGTGGCACTTTCCCCTTCCCTGCATTTCACTCTCCCCAGCCCTTTTAGATCCCAATATAAACTATTTACATACAAAACCTTTCAGGCTTTGCTAACTGTGGCAACTCGCTAACGCTAGGAACAGATCAGAGTTTAGTTGCATATGCTTTCAAAGTTAAGACCAAAGACACGTGTAAATCAGCCCAGGGTGCACGCTGTTCACACAGGGCTCACAATTTGATTCTTTGTGGATAAAATTGTTATCATACTGTTTCAAAACTGAACATCAAAGCATAGTGGTTATTTTTATTGGTTAATAGTATTTCATTTTTATCTTCATGGCTTTACAAGGTGAAAGGCATTACTATCTCCATGCTATTAAAAAAAAAAAAAAAAAAAAAAAAAAAAAAAAGGAAAGCAGAGTTCTAGCTGCTAAACCCCAGCTAGCCTTCATCCCAGGCTTGATTTCTAGCCTCTGCCCTGAGCCATTACCCTTCTGTTCCTCACCCTGACCTCCAACCTCACTTTCCTACTCCAGAGGCAGCCAGGTCAGACAAACCCAGCAGGCCTTGCCCTTTCATGTTTCTGCTAGGCCTATCAGCCTCGGGATCTTCAGAGACCAAGTCTAATGCCATCTCCCAGAACTTCTCAAAGACAATTACTTCCTTATCAGCACTTCGTTTTCCCATGTCTGTTATGTGTTCCACATCCTCACCTTCTACTGTGCTTTCCAACAAGGCTGGAACCTCAAGGACTTAGGTATTAGAGTCCCAGGTACTGAGTGCTCAGCCGCTCAATGAGCCCTCAGGGCTGTGCGCTCTGGCTCTCCCACCACTGAACCCCAGCACAGATATCAGCTGGCCATGGTTTATACTCATTTGCTGAATGACAGATTAAATGAGTAAAGAAAAGTTTCTTCATTGAGTTGGGCTCCTGGAAAGGAGACTGTACTGCATCCAGCAAACAGTGGCAATCATTCTGAGACACAGGTTCCCAGCACAAGTCACCTTTGCTTCCATTTTTAAGGTTTTAATGTGCTTCAACAATAAATCCAAGAATACAAGAAACTGTCCAGTAATTAACAGAAGATTTATTTATGCAAGAATAGTCATCCTTGCCAAATTTAATAGGACAAATTAAATGTTCGGTCCAGTTTTCCTTCCTGGATAAGTTTTTCCTTTCTGTCCTGTATAGAATAAAACAAAAAAAGACAAATGTTAAAAATTCTGGCATGGCCACGAAATAATTGCAAATCAGGAAGAAAAAGCCTCAAAATTTAATTGTAATCCCAAGCTCAAGAACTCTGAGGAAGTAATAAGAAGCTAAAGTTAGGACAATAAGAAAATACTGCCACTCAAAAGTACTTCAGCTTTTTTTTGTTTTGTTTTGTTTGGGTTTTTGAGACAGGGTTTCTCTGTACTGCTTTGGAGCCTGTCCTGGAACTCGCTCTGTAGACCAAGCTGGACTCTCAGAGATCTATCTGCCTGCCTCTGCCTCCCAAGTGCTAGGACTAAAGGCATGCACCACCACCTTAGCTGCTTTTAATGATAATAAAGGAATTGCCCCATTCTAAAGCAGACAGTTTTTGTTTTGCTTGGAGGCAGAATCCTACCCTACAGCCCAGGCTAGCCTGGAACTCAGTCAATAGCCCAGCTGGCCTCAAACTCATGGTGATCCTCCTGCCTTAGCCTTCCCAGGGCTGGGATTACAGGTGTGAGCTCCCATGCCCAGCTTCAAAAGTAGACAGGGGAGCAAGTGCAAACAAGTTCTAGAAAAGCACAGCTGATTTAACAATCAAAAAACACTTGCTCTGATACAAGAGTCAGTGTGGGGCTGATGATGAAGACGGATGAGTGTTCTCCAGCCTAGATGGCTGCACAAGTCAATGGACTGTGCCAGGAACTGCGGGCCAGAATGGAGCAGCCTTCTCTGTGACCATGCAGCCAGCTTCTGATGCCAGTGACTGACAGGCTACTTCTGCTTCTGTTGCTAGGGCTTAGTATGTTTGAAGAGTAACTGCCATAAAGAACTTAGCAACAGATACCATGCTAAATGATCCATATGTTCTGTTAACCCTGGACCAATAAACATCATCCCTAACAAATGTTCCAACAAAACTAAAGAACTTCACCAGGCTATTTGAAGTGAATCACAAAAGGTGGCTAATTTTAAGGCAGACATGGTGACTCATTCTTGAAATCCCAATGCTCAGGAAGTTGAGACAGACGTCTTTAAATTAGGTTGGCCTGGGCAACAAAGTGAGACCTTCTCAATCCTGTCTTAGTAAAATTTCTTCCTACCCTCAAAGGAGAAAATTAACTTAAAAAAAGTTACTATGGTATTCATTTGCCTAATAATCACACTATAATTTCCTTATAGTATCCGGAAGAAACAAGAAAGCTTTCATGAACTAACTCCTAGTCTCATAAATGTAAACCCTGAATTAAAACCTGGAAGACCCATAGGCTGCTATGGTTTTTAACAGAGCACCAAATCAAATGGAAACCCCCAATCCTTACTGAAAGGAATGAAGACACAAGATAGAAAGGGAAAGGACTGTTCCTGTGCGAGAGGCTTGGGAGCAACCACAACACTGAATGGCAGCTGCCACCTAGAGGGACCTCTCACACCAAAGTTAAACACCTGCGCCTGATACTTACCCTATCTGTTTTAAAAACGTAATACCAGAAGATGAGGGGCCCAAATGCCACCACAGCTCCTAAAAGTGAGTTCTTGGGAGTGGGTCTGAAATTGGGATAAATATTTGTTGACCTTGCATAGGCCCATCGAATCAAGGCAGGATCTTCCTGAAATCAATACAAAGAAAGACTTGTAAACCTTAAGGAGGACATGTTGAGGAAGACATTCATCAGGCAATTGTGAAGGTACAAGGGTGTGTTCTGTTCTCCAGGGTAACTCACACAGGCCTTCAACTCTGGCTTTCTGGCCTCTACCCCCAAGATGTATTATAGACCTGAATGGTTTCTAGAACTCAAAAACTTCTTGTTTTCTTTCTCTCCTCCCTCTTTTTTCCTTTCCTTTTTTGGTTTTGGTTTTTATGAAACAAGGTCTTGCCCTGTAGCCCTGGCCAACCTGTAGCCCAAGTCAACACTATGGCAGTCCTCCTGAGTCTCAGCTTCCCAAGTGCTGCTGGGGTCATGGGTGTGCACCACCATGCCCGGTCAGAACTGTCTAATGATCCTGTTCAAATCCTCCACAATTTAAACATCCTTCTATCCCCAGCTAGTTTTCTATGTACTTAGGATATAAGGTGCCTAACTTTAAACTGGCAGAGAAGCCAGAATTCCCTTCATTTCCACAAATCCCTCTCAGACTTATCCTTATCCTCTTTCTGGCTCTTGAAAGTGGCCATCAGAACCATACCACACCCCTGGCGAAAAGAGACCTCAGCTTCTCTATCAAGCTTCCTATTTTGCTTCTAAGATCCTTTCTGATGCTGTCCCATGGGTCTTTCCTGGCTTCAACAGTTGCAGGAAGATGAAAGCAGCCTTACTCTAATCCTGAGCTATATGTTTTTGCTTTCTTTTGGTCCGAGGATCAAACCAAGGCATAAACTCTACCACTGAGCTATACCTTTCACCATAAACTGTATGTTTCTAAACTAATTTGGCTGATGTTTGGAAAACAATCTATGACATTCTACACTATTAAAAGTCTTGCAAAAAAGGTCAAAGTTGTTAAAAAAAATCAGCTTATCTTGGTTAAGAAAAAAAATAATGTGATGTACTTAAACTAAAATAATTTCCTAAGAATAGCAAATCTACCCCAAACACATAATTAAAGTTAATTAGCTAAATTCCCAAGTGATTTTGCAAAATTATTCTCCCCAATTAACTGACAAATTAAAATAAGCAAATAAAATCAGCTTTAGTCTTCAGTATGCAGCATGAACATCGAGGGTGTTAAGGAACACCACACAGCCATGATTGGCAGGACTGAAATAAGTCCCACATTTACATTTCAAACTATACTGAATTACAGCAATTTGACCCGGAGGTGACCAGCTGTGGCTCAGAGGTAAAAGCAACCTTGAGTGGAGATGCTTCCAACCTTTCAATAGGTGAAATCCTCAGCCATGTAATGATCATTTAGAGAAGTCTAAAACTCGCTTCTGCTGCTCTAGAAATCACTCCTGTTATCACTCCACGCTAAGGCAGAAGGGTTTTGTAGCACTGTTTATTATTCCCTGGACACAGTAGAAAGTAAGTCCAGAAGATGAAAGGGTCAATGGATATGCTTTTCTGCTAGAGAATGTACCTGAAGGCCACACTGTGAGATTTCTCAATCTGCCAGCCACGCGCCACTCTCCAGACACAGAAATTTCATTTCACAAAAGCACCAGAAATTCAAGATCAAAACCACAAGAGGCTGGAGAGATGGCTCAGAGGCTGAGTAGTTAGTTGTTGCTCTTGATGAGGACCTGGGTTGGGTTCCCAGCACCCACATGGTAGCTCACAGCCATCCCTAACTCTAGTTTCAAAGTACCCAATGACTATTTCTGGCCTCTTCTGGCACCAGGCATATGCATGGTACACATACAAAATGCAGACAAAACACTCATACAAACAAATGGAGTAAATAGGGAAAGGCAACTTTCCATGACACCACTCAGTGTCCATTCAAGTCAACCAGTCACATGACTGTGAGCCTTTTTAGTCTGAATTTTACCTCTAGCCTTAGACCTCCATGTTCAACTCAACATCTACCCACCTGGGCATGGATGGAAGCATCTAACAGGCACTCCAAAAGTACTGATCTATCCAAACTATCTGTTAATATTCCTTTTCAATCCACCACTCTTGTTCCTCTCAGGTTCTTCTAGTAGAAGGAACTGTCAGCCTTCTCTTTCTCATACACACCTACCTGGCATTGAACCTGGCCAGATCTACTCTTAATTAATACCTATCTACTCAGTTCCTGCCCTTCTTGCCACCTCCACTACTGTCACAGCAACCATTAACTAAGAGACTTAACTGTGGTAAAAGCCTCCTAGATCACTTCTCTGCCCTCAGCCCCTAGCAGACAACTCTTGAGGAAACAGATTTTGTTGAGATGTAAGTCTCCATTATATGACTCCCCCCTCAGTAAAAATCTGTACAGTGCCATTCAGGTCTCTGTGATCAGGTCCTAGGAACTTCGTTAACCTCATTTTGTTTTTTGTCGTTCTGTCTTTGACTTTCCCTATTTTATCCACAATGGCCTCTACAAAAACAAGAGTGATTGCGTGCATTTGCGTGCGTGCCTGCATGTTAAACACACTCTTAACTTTTTTCTGTATCATTTAACACTATCTCGCATACAAAATGATTTAGATTTCTTAACGTACTTAATTTTTGTCACCCCCACTAGAAAGACAGCTCTACAAGGAGAGGGATTTTAGCTGACTTTATACTCTTACCTCATCATATCAAACAGTCTCATAATAGATACTGAGCAATTATTTCTGAGCAAATCAGTCATTCCTAAAGATTAGACAAAGTGATTCACATGTATTGGTTGGTAAATGATTAACGGAACAGCTAAAGAGGCAGGGATGAACAACTCTGCTACAGATGAGAAATGGAAACTGTTCTGGATTGCAGAGATTAAAAGACAGGTGACTGGGGGTACAAACTTGACTGAGACCTTATTCTATTTACTTAAAAAGATTCAAAAAACAAACAGGCCAGGTGTTATGGAGCATGCATTTAATGTCAGCATTCAGGAGGCAGAGGCAGATGAATAACTGTGAGTTCAAGGCCAGCCAGGTCTACATAGTGAGTTCCAGGACAGCCAGGGATATATAGAAACCGTGTCTGAAAATAGATAATAATAATGAAAAATACTGTACACATCAAAATCAACTATGTGTATAGTTTATAACAGATGTATTTCTTTCACCCTGCAAACAAAGGTCTGGTTGGAGATACTATATCCAACTAGGTAGAAAACTATATACAAACTAGGGCTTAAACTGAGCTCTGTGACCTCCTACTGGGTGTATCTGTATGAGCAAAAATACTGCCCATCCTGTCTTCTCATCTAGGAAGTCAAGAAAAGAGTAACACAGCTTAATTCTATGATAGGTCGTGAAATATAAATTTAAGGGAAAAAAAAGTCTTTCATGTCAGGTATGGCTTTACAAGGAAGGGGCAGTAATCCCAGTATGTGGAGCTGTGGCTGGGAAACCTGGAGTTCTGATATCTTTAGAAGAAAATCAAAACAAGACTTAGTACTGTATCTGGCCCCTTAGTGTAACTTTCCCTTGGTTGTTCTCATAACTTCCGAAATTTCAGAGAGAATGGGTATACAATTGTTGGAATGTCTTCATTTGAGATATTTGGAGAACGTTTACAGAGGAAATTGTCTAAACAAGCACTTGTTAAAATACCAGTTTACTGACATGCTGTATAGTGATGCCACATACTTATTTGGTTTCACAACTCTATACACCATTTACTTGAGAACATTAAAAAGCTAGGTTTTAAGAGAGATTACATAAATTTCCCAGGGGGTCATAGTTTGTCTGTATATGTCATGTGGTCTGATCCCAAAGCCAAATGCTTCATCAAACTTTAGGTTCTGTAACGCACTTAATGTGAACAACCCCTTCATTGTCATGAGAGAGCAATGTCCTTGGGAGTTAGGAGCTCCAAACAGCTTTTTACGCTGCACAGTTGGAAGGACCTGACCTGAACAAGCCCTTACAAGGAAGACACTGGGCTAGACCGGTCACGTGTTGCTCTGCCTCAGAACATACGAAGGACCATATTGCAACCATGTTTCAGACAAGAAAGCCGAGACTATGCAGAGTTTAACAACTTGCTCTAGATTGGGAGGGAAACTGTCAAGCCAGGATGCAAGGCCAGCTGGGTTTGCAGCCGGGGCCCATCCTCTTGACCACTAAGACTACGGCCAAGGTCAAAGGAACAAGAGCTGTGTGGCTAGGGGTCCGCGTCCAGCAAATGGATTAGAGCTGGGCGGCCCCGCGTGAGATGCGGCTGCCGCGGCCCACGATCCCGCCCTGCCCCACTCACGATGTGCGTTTGGCGTTTGGGGTCGTTGTACTGAAGCAGATATTCGCGTTTAAGCCTGGCCCTTATGTTCAGGCGCTCGACCTGCGCCTTTCGGGTCTCCGGAGACAAGTCATACTCGGCTGGGTCGAGGGTACTGGGAAGAGTGGCCAGGGGCGCAGGCTTATACTTGGAACCCGACATCTTGGCTCCCGGCACACGTCTGCGCCTGCGCGCCTAAGAGGGCTGCCCGACTCAGTTTGACCTTCAGACTCAGGAAATGCGCCTGCGCACGCCGTTGCGCGACCTGGCAGAAAGGGGAGGGAGAAGGGTGGAGTCTGAGATGGGGCGGAGACTTCCCCCACTCTCCTGGGCACGCGTATTTTGCGCGTGCGCGCTGTTGTCTGCTCGCCTCTGGCATCTTGTCTGGAGTTGACAGTCGTTTCTCTCTCTGTGCTGCTCCTCGCTTGAAGAACCGATTTCCTGATTGAGCAGTCTAGATGAGTCTGGGAAATTGGACTGGTTGTCGCTTCCGAAGTCCTGCTGTCCAGTCTGGGTTCATCCAAACTGGGTGACCTTGGAGAAGGTCATTTAGTGTCTCCCGAGTTTCCTTTTTCTTATCCAAAAGAAATTACCTTGACCCTGTGGAGTTGTGGGTTTAAATGAGACAATGAAAAATGCAGAGCTCTTTACAAATATTCCGTACTCCTCCCGCGCCCCCAAAAGGAGAATGAACTTTATTTTGCAGGTTACCACATTAGGGCCAGTCCACTATTAATCTCAAAGATGGGAGGAGAAAGACCACTGATCAAAATTATCAGGGCCAAATTAATTAAAGCAAGCAATGAAAGCATGCCTTTTTATTCTTATATAGGAGCTTCCATGTCCTAAGATGGGGTTTGACAGGTCAGCACTGATGTGAGGAAGATAAGATTTTTATAGCTTGGGGGTGGGTGGGTAGAGGGTTTCCAAATGGGGGATTTGGTGGGCAAAATAGGCGGGGTTATAGGGGCAGAACATAAGCACAATAAGTTAGTTATAGTGACCTCTTTGGAAGGTGTTCGCGACAACAGGTAATCATAACAAGAGAGCCATAGCAACCTTTTTGAAGCAAAGGTAGGGTTGCAATATGGTTATTAACTTTTGAAACAAAGACAAGATTGCCATTCCTGGAATAGGAGGTACAGAACCATTTGTCATTAAGGTGGGTAGGGCATAGTCCAATCATTGAGAAGCAGGTTTAATCATAAACAGGAATGAACCTAGTCTGTCTGAACTATAAGATGGCTTTTAAGCCTAAGATGGAGGCAGGCTGGTTCTCCATCACCTAAGTGTAAGCTTATATTTTGTAGATGTGAGATAGGAGACTGGCGTTACAGGGTGTAACCAGCTGTAGTCAATCAGAAAATGATGAAGAATGAAACTCCTGAAGAAATATCTTAGTTAAAAGGGCTAAGAACTCTTAAATCCTTAGCACTACTCAGGTGCTGAAAAGGCATCCATCCTTACAGATACAAAAGTACACACCAGGATTCTAGGGCAGACTCACAATCCCAAGACTAGGAAGGCAGAAGTAGGAGCTTTGCACTCAAGGCCAGTCTGGGGTGTATACCACAAACCTTTGCTTCAAGAAAAAAAGAAAAAAGAAAAGAAAAGATGATTTGAAGAGTAAATAAAGGTAACACATGCAGCTTTCAGCATCTCTGCATTCCACCCTCATACACACTATCACTAAGGGGAGAAAGCAACTTCAAGGCACACAGCAAAGCCTTTAGGTACCCACAAAACACTCCTTAGGAAGCAATGATGGAAACAATACCACATAACTCCAGCAAGAAAAGCTGGATTAAAAAAAAAAAAGCTTCAGTCTGGCTGAACCTTCTGGGGACATACAGGTATGTGGGAGAAATGGTTGCTAGGCAGAGGCAGGACCTAGAAAATGTTGGCGCTGAAGTGATGAGCAACAGCATGGCTGTCAAATTTATTCAACACTTTAACACTGTTATAAAATATTTATTAAGCACCCCTGCATGAAGTGCACCTCACACCACTCAGCTTCAGTCAATCTTCTAGGCGCAGTAGAGAAATTACACAAGAAATGGAAGCTGGGTCCTTGTTAATTTTTTCCCCCAGTAGCTGACAACCATGCAGAGAACAGACAGAGAAGGATATTTGCAAAGTAGTTCTGTGTCCAAATGAGTATAAAACAAAAACTCATTTGCAATCCATTTAAAGGGGAGAGGAAGAGTGGAGAGGGAGGGGGGATGGGGGGTTCTCAAAGATGTTTTAAAACCGAAGAAAAGATAAGGCAGTATGAAAAGCAGGTTCAGGATGTAAAATCTAAATACTATATGGATAACATTAAAAAGAACTTAAGACACTGATGTGGGAAGTGAGGAAAATAAAAGGAATAAAGAAATGCAGCGAGTGTGTGAGTGCGATACAGCCATCTTACAAAACTAAAAAGGTGTGTGTGAGGGGGGCTTTATTAAAGTGAAATATTTGCATGAGATTAAGTGGTTATTCTTATGTTTTTTAGTTATCAAAAACATTACTCAAGACGACTGTAAAAGACATGGAGTTCTGTTCTGTTTTATGGGCACTTGCACTTCCCTGAGTGTTTATTGTGTATCAGATACGTATTTCAGTTCCTAAACTACTGGTTATTGCCATTGGAATAATAACGGGGCGCCCTTTCGGTTTCTCTGTTAACATTAGTTATATTTGATAATGTGTTTCACTGCATTGTTTTTGTACATGTATAATGTTTTTTGATGTTCACCCACCTTTACTCTCTCTTGTCCCCCTTCTACTCCCATTAATTCTTGTCTTCCAACTCATCCCCCATCTACTTTCATGTCTTTTTCATTGGTGATCTAAAGAGTTTAATTAGGGTTGATTCAGGAATATAGAGGAGGGTGATTTAGAAGAGCATGGACAACCTACCAATGACTACATTACTGTAGACAATATCTACTCTTCCCTCGGCAGGCATTAGCTCACCTGAGAGAAATTGGGCCCCATGAGTTGACTGACCTGTCCCAGCAATAGTTGACCAAGGAGAGAGAGGATCTCATGAGACTTTCCCCAGCCCATGCTAGAATGCTGAAGGACCCATTCTTCTACAGGCCTTATGCTGTTAATCACAGCTGCTGTAAGCTCATAAGCATGGTAACCATTTCATACCCAGAAATGGTAACCATTCTAGACTTTTCTCCATCTCTTACATCCTTTCTACCCCCTCCACTGAGTTGCTTCCCGAGTCTCTGAAAGAGTAATAAAGATATCCTGTTTAGTGATGAACATTCAATAATCACTAATGCTCAGCACTTCAATGAGTTACCAGTCTCTACATTAACCACTGTCCACTGGGAGTTGGGAGTGAGAGAGAGAGAAAGGAAGAAAGAACGAATGAAAAAGGGAGAGGGGGGAAGGGAAGAAGAAAAGGAAAGAAGCTTCTGTAACAAGGCTGAGAGCACAGCTACACTGTGGGCATAAACATAAATATTGAATTGAGAAGGCACTTTTACAAGCACAACATGTCCATTTAGTAAAACATCAGCAGTAGCTTCCTCAGTCGGGCACATGACTGCCCCAAGTTATGACCCTTTGACTAGGTTTACAATAACAGACCTCAAATCCACAGCAGTCAACCCAGTAAGGTACCAGCAGGCACATATTGCCAGATGGGTCAGTATCCTAGCATACAAGGTCCATAGCTGGGTGGGGTTGTTGATACATTTTATTCTCCATCAACCTGCATAGCTCCTTCCAGCACTGTGAAAAGTGGCCAGCAGAAGGGAAGCTTCCAGCTCAGATCCAACTTGATTGCTCTATGTCCTACAACCAAAACACGTACTCGTCTTCAGCAACAGGGTCTTACTATCTAGTTTACATGAGCACCAAGGGCAGTAGAAATGGCCTGTATTGTTTGGGGGCTCTTGTCGTCCTCTGTGACCACCCTGACCAAAAAAATATGAAGTTTCTGAGCTCTTGCCTTTGGAGATTCAGAATTGGTGTGTCAGGGGAACTTACGAGGCAGAATTATCCCCAGGTCCTGAAAGGATTCTTATAAAGTCTTATGTGCTTGGAAAACAAAAAATTAGAATAATTGGTTTTCCTTTCTGCAATCAGGAAAAACCCCCTAGAGCCTATTGAAGATGGAGGCCTAAACTATACAATGGAAGGAAAAGATATGATTGGAGCCTTATCTTGAGAAAAATCTAATAATTCTTGGACATGGATTTAGCTTGTACTTAATATATTTTAGGATTATATTTGCAACTATGTATCGATTCTGATAACTTGTGTCCATTTGGAGAGTATAATATGCACTTATAGATGGCAGAGGCATCTGATCCTCCTAGAGTCAGAGTTAGAGATGGTTGCCAAGCACCCACATGGCTGCTGAGACCCTTACTGGGATCCTCTGTAAAAGCAGTATATGCTCTTAACTCCAGAGCTGTCTCTTTCTCTCCAACCCTTTGTCTGCAGCAAGATCATACACACACACACACACACACACACACACACACACACACACACACGCACACACAAAAAAATAGGACTTTATCCAGTTTTCTCTCCTCACTCATTATTTGTGTATTAGTATGGGTGCATATATGTGCATATGCATTTTCTCATGTATGTGGATGCATGTGCATAGACAAGTGCACATGCAAGTCTATGTAGACTCATGTAGAAGCCCGGGTTGATGTTGGGAGGTCTTCCCCAGTCTCTCCACCTTCTTCAAACTGAACCTTGCACTCACTCACATTGCTGGTCCAGCTAGCCAGCTTATTCCAGGGATCCCTTCCCTTAACTTTCAGATCACGGAATTACAGGCAGTGCTGTACTGTATGGCAAGGATATGTTTGGTTTTGTAAGAAGTTGTCCGGCTGCCTTTCAATGTGGCTACACCACTTCACACTTCCCATCAGTCATCAATGAGTTTTTCCGTTGTTCAGCCCCTTGACAGCATTGAGCATTGTTAGTGTCCAGTGTAAGGGAGTGTGTGTGTGGCGTGGGGGGGAGAATGGGGGGGAGGCCATCCAATTCCTTTAATTCACATTTTCCTGGTGGCCTGAATTGAAGGGTATTTTCATTTGCTTGTTTTTTCTTTTTTTCACTGAGTATCCTCTTTGGTGAGGTATCTGTTAAGGGTTTGGGCCCAGCTTTAAATTTTATTTTTAATGTGTTATTCTAAGTTACACAGAGCCATTTTCATGCAGGTATATGAATGTCTTTGAGCACA